CGTGCCGATGGAATGCCCCCCTCCCCACCGACTCACCCCCACCCCCTGACTGACTGACTGTCTCTCCCTCTCGTCTCCTGAAAGAGGAGCGGGGCAGGGAGTGGGAAACGACACGATACACAAATATGACCCCGTTTTTCTACCACAGAGAAGAGCAAATGGACAGAAGAAMAACAAATTTGTATTCAGGTTAAAAAAGCTTTTATATGACAAAATTAAAGAAATATAACTATTAACAAATGCTGCATGTCTGAATATACAGTATAATTACAATACATATATTAGTTAAACCCTACATTTTGCACAATAATGCCAAATGTTAGGGATTGAACAATTGTCTGTGTTTTCACTTTTCTCAATATTCAGTAATAAAATGATTTTATGACGTTTTATTTGAGGACGATGACTACAAAATGGCACTGCATAGTCAGAACACGTCTTATTATTTCAGTTTCAAAACAATTTATCTTGTCTGTTTTTATGTGAATATATCACCATAATCTTCTGCCAACATATAACGCAAATAAACTTATGTAAGTAAGATAAGTTTCATAGAATATTAGTGCTACAACAAGAATCAAATTATTGTTTCTGTTTTTGTAAAAAGCGTGACAACCAATCCATCATCTACTTGACGAGGTGCCCCATTTTATTATTTAATAATCGCCTCTTGTGCTGACACAATAAAATGAGATTCTGCCTAAAGGTATTAGAAAACACGAGTGGATTAAAACCGTCTCCTGCCTTTTAGCGCTGGACTTTAGTTTCATCGGTCATGACACTGATTAACCCTTTTTCCACTCAGCGTGCACAAATGCACACTAAACAGCTCGTGAAGGTTACCATTAAATGCGTGTCGCATTCCTCTGGTTTTTCAGCTCGCGGCTCTCCCTTAGATCAAAGGACAGACGAGTCTATTGGCCTGCTCTCCTCCACCCCTCCTCTTCCTCCACTCTCTCTTCCTCCTGCCATTCCTTACTCAAACACTCCTCTCAACTTATTTTCGACCCTTCGCAAATTCATACTAACCTAATGTCATGTTTTTGTTTTCTCCCCATTCCGCTGAACTTTAACTGGTTAAATTCTCTCATTTTTTACCTCCCTGCCATCACCTCTGTCCTCACCCTCCCCCCACCCCCCGTCCCCCTCCAGCCCCTCCTTCTCACAGTTTGGCGGTTCCTGTTGCTCTTGTTTTCACTTCCCCAGTAGTCTGGTGCGTGGGAACCAGCGTTTCAGCTGCAGCAGAGTCTACAGCTGAGTCTGAGTGCAAGTGTGACCCAGCCTATGGTGCCTTTAAAGGTGCGAGTGTGTGTTGGCTTAATCTTTTGGATAATCTCAACAAGTCTCGAAAAAAAAAAAGGGACCGTATCACTCAACAGACGTTTGTACAATAACTGAAAGTTGGAACAAGTTATAACCAAAAATAGCTTAAAAAATTAAACAGTTCAACTAATCTGAACTAAAAATTCTGCAATATGTTAAAATGTGACACGTATTTTATACTTTATATTAGGGATGCACCGATGTGAAAATTGCAGCCGATATCGATATCAGATACAATTATTGCTGTTATGGCCGATAACAGATATTTACAGATGTTACACAAACACACAAATTATATTATACATAATCAATCAATATCAATCAATCAATAACCTTTTTTAACCAGGTAGAAAACCCATTGAGAACAGGATCTCTTTTACAAGGGTGACCTGGTCAAGACGTCTGCACTACACGTCACAGAGTGTATCTGAGTTAAAATTTACATTGTGGTTAAAGTACAACAATTCAAAATACAAGTTGTTATAAACAGATTTAGACATTCAGTCGTTTCGAACGTACAAACCAAGCTGATTACCAAATTACGGCATAATGATTTCCATTTCTTAAACACACTTGGGTCTTTTTTTGATACCGAAATAAACAACCAGACCTCTGACATGGCTCCCTACCTCAGTTATTCCTGGCTACACAGCATCAATATCACTATCATGATCAAACAGATGCTGCTCAACCAACCATCTCCCCTCCCAAAACAGAAACACAAAGCTAAGAAGTGGGAAATCAATATAGGACGTTAATATTGGCCCAGTTTTACATGTCGGACCRATAMCGATATTCTAAAAAAAAGGCCAGTATTGGCCGATACCGATATTAATGCCGATATATCGTACTTTATATTGTGCATGAACTATTAATAGACAACATGTTGTTTTTAGCATATCGGCTACAAAAGAATCATGTTTATACACGTTTACTATATATTAGGTTCACTGCCTACAGCTTAAATTAATTTCAAGAACAAGTGAAAAAAAATGATTTATTGTTCTTAAGAAAAGCTAGAAATGAAAAAAAAAAAAGATTTAAAAAGTAAAACCTCAGAAATGATTTATTTAAATAAGGAAGTGATTGAGTCATTTTTATTGCACAACTATGCAGATGAGAGCCAATATAAACTGGTGACGCCCTCCTTATTTATAGGTTGTGGTTCACACTAAAGCTTCTACRCTTCTAATATTTCTCACTTGTGCTGTGATACACAAACAGACAACTCAGTGGTTAATCTCCAATCTCTTTTGCGTTAACTTCGTCCTCGTGACATTCATCACCGGGGTATGAGAGCGAGACAGACGAGGACAAAGGGAGGGAAACTGACCCGTCCGCTGCTGCTAATCAGAAAGCTTTACAATCGCGTAACAAAGGGGTTAAAACTTTGCCTGAGTGGGCCGCAGAGCAGCTCCCAGGGTGAAGCGTTCTTGGTGACTGTAACACACTCAGATAGAACTGAGAAAAAATATTAATCTGATCGAAAATCACTTTATAAATACATTAAGAGTCTGATTAAATGTATATATTGCCTTAAACATAGCTGAAATTATATTTTTATATAAGTAATGCAGATATTTTTTGATGTATTAAAAAAAATATGCTAAGAACTGAAGTGATTGCATCTCTTTGAAAACAGATTCCTAACAGTGGCGAACGTTGGACAATTATAAACCCATGCGGCCTTGTTTTGGCCTTGAGATGCCAGGAGGTGGTCAAAGAATTATCGTTTACTATCTGGTTGGATTTGCTGGTTTGTTAGAGCCCTGATTTTATCATCAAGGTGGTCCCAGCTTGTAACATTTTGAGGCCGATGAAGATGCAGCTGTTGACGTATCCTGAATTATTTGGGCCCTCCTACTAGGACCAGGCCAGAACACACACGAGCTTACTAACCTTTAAAGATCCCCTCTTCAAGTAGTCACCCCACAAGCACAAACACAGCCATCGTTACACACATTGCTTCTCTAAACAGCCACCCACAGAGACATCTACAGGTGAGGCAGCGTAAATCAGTCACAAATAAATTTCTCTGGCTCCACGAATGCGACAAAGAAAAGCACTTAGATGTTTCTACAATGAATTGTGTAAGATATTAAAAAAAGTGAGAAACTATAACTGATAGAAATTACTCTAAATTAATTTATTCACTGAAAATAGAAATGTAAGTAAGGTTGACATGAGCAAGGAGCTTAACCAACAATTTGATTGAAAAGGGTTCTTTACATCAACATTTGATTTGTCTGAGTGTTGCAAAGTTGTGGAACCATTAGATAAAGCTGTGAGAGCCACACTCATTTAGTCTGATTCCAGTAATTTTGTCTGACATGTTTAAGCCAAGTGGTTTCATTTCTTGTTATATCATGCCCCTCTTTTACACCGAACTTATCACAGGTACAAGCAGGTTTTCAAATACAAGGCGACTCTGCTCCTTTCCCCATCGCCAGGAGCAGAGTGGTTCATCTCTGTCTGAACTTGGATTCTTTGTTTTCTTGAGGGAATAAAAATTTACTTTCCAGCTAATTTTGACAGCAGATCTGTGCAAAAGTTTCTTAGACTTTGTTTCATGAAAACTTCTCTTTGCTTACCAGTTGTCACATTTTAAACACATTCTATGGAATTATTTATTTTCTATTTTTGCTCAAAGCTTCAGCTAGTCTTTTGTCTTCCTCATCTTTCCCTTGAACTCTCAGCACCAGTGCAGGTTAAAGATCTGGTGGCAACAAGCATCAATGTAATCCAGACGTCTTTCGTCCCTACCACATCCTGCAGCCACTGGTGGGGGACTCAAAGCATTCCCAAACCAGATGGGAAATGCAATCCCTTTCTACGTCTCCTGGGTCTGCTTTAGGGCCTCCCTCCATCTGGACATACTCCAAATACCTCCACAAGGAAACCACAAGGAGGCCACCAGGAGGTAGACTAATTAGATCCTCAAACAATCTTAAATCACTTACTTTMCACGTGTAGTTTTATTTTCTAAAACATAAATAATGTGAAAAAAATTTGTTTTTGGCTCCCCATATCTAGTTCTTTTCAGTTCCCACTACCACAATCATCTGATACAACGCCCACATCGCTGCCAGCGTCATATCAATCACTTTTTCATTCTATCTTCTCTGTTCGATCTGACATACCTTCACTCTAAAATCACTTCCTACTGCTAAATAATAGCATTTTTAAAAGCCACTGAGAGCAGAAATCAGACTCTATTCAGACCGTTCTCCCAAAATGCTTCAAAATGTTCCCATCATCCTSTGCTGTCTCACTGACATCACAGCAAACATGACATTTCACCACCTAACAACTTTCTTTCCCACCATTATAAATCCATCTCYTCAGCTTTCAGTTTGCAGAAGACAATAATATAACACCACAAGCTTTGTTCTTATAATTTGGGAATTCAGCAAGTATTTATAACCACAAAATACTTCCTTGTATTAACTTTACAAGAACTTCCCTCTAACAGAGAAAATCTTTTTCCCCTTTCTCACAGACTGTTGAGTGGAAACCAAAATGCAAAACAGATGTAATATAAACAAATGCTTTATCTTTACATTTTGTGACTTCTGGTAACGTCTGTTTAATTAGCCTGTTACGCTGCGACGTCATAAACCTCGGGGCAGTAATGCTTTTCTCGTGTGAGACTTTGCGAGCACAGAACTTGGGAGTACCTGACAGCGGCTGAATATATCGCTGGGAGTAGGCTGGACGTTGAAGTGTCGGAGGACTCGAACAGCCTGGTCTTTGGCCTTTTCTGAACAGTTCAAGGACAGACAGCGCCCCTCACCCACCTGGGAGCGCAACTAAGTGAAAAGTAAAAATAACACATTTTAGATGTACAGGGAAAAAAGTATAAAATCACAAAGAATTTGATTTTTACATGAATTATCATCTACCGTTTGATATGGCTGTCCACATGTGAGGATGACACGGCCTTCAGATTGCGCTAACTGTAACAACAAAGAAAAAAGGTACACATTAAACTACTGAACAGTGATAATGTTTCTGTTATTCTGTGGTAACAGTAAGTGCTAAAGGAGAGCAGGTAAGACAAAAGGCTTGATAAATAAACAATGGAAATATTTAGCATTTGAGTTCATAATTAATGACAAACTAAGGACAGTTAAAAATCAGCGTACGACAGACATCAGAGCTTTAAATAATGAAAAAAGTWAACTTCAACATCAGGGTATCAGAAATGTTCAAGTTTTAAAAGCTAACATTAGTCGTGGCACTGAAACATGCTAACGTGACAAAAACATTTTTTATAATAATGGATAATATTGATATTGGTTTATACAGTAATCTACCAAATTTCAASCAAAATACATTTTTTGATAGCTACTGTGTGTTTGTCTCGTTTGTGTGTGAAAAGTGTATTTCTTCTTGACAGATTCTTAACAAACCTTTGCTGCAACTCTGTGATCATCCGTATTCTCCAACATGACCACATCGACCCCCAAGCAGCGCAGATACCTTCCAAGTCCTTGCAGCATGTTGTCACACACCACCCGCAACTGCTGGGGGGGCAGAGGCGGGAAATCTTCTGGGGCCATCTCGCCACACAGGAGGCCTTTCTCTGTGTCAGAACGAGGGGGACTGACCTTTTGAGCCCCCTGACATTCCTAAACGGACAGAGGGAATAATGTGATACTTAACTGATCCCCATTGGGGGATTTTCTTTTCACTAGCACCACGGTTCAGAAAGGTCACAGCACAGGGTGAGTCATACAACTGCGCCCCTGGAGCTGATAGGAACTGGTGAAGTGTCTTTGTCAAACAAGCTTTGTCCCTCCTTGTAGGCCGGATGCTCAAACCTCTGTGCCTTCAGCTGGAGGTTCTCTGCATTTATTCAGGTGAAAAGGTCGCAGGTTATCACACAAGTGACAACTGTCACATTAGCACAGTTGCTCTTCTTTAGGCACTTTCACAAAATAGTTTTCCACAAAATGGAGTAAAAGCCAGTCTACACTTAAGCTGCCTCAGACTATCAATCTGTAATCGATCTGGCCATGTCCCGCATAGATGTGAGCTTTCAGAATTAAAGAAGCTTTGCAGAACCAAAAGAGATGCATTATGAAATATATGATGAACGCAGTCGTACCACTTTATAAATGTGACAAATGACCTCAGTTTTGCATGCTTCTAAACCGTTTTTTCAACTAAATTTGAAGTTTATGTGAGATATCAATCTTCTCCTCTGTACTGTTTATTGTTGTTTGGGCTTTTAAATTCAGTGGCTGTGTGTTTACACAAACCACAAGTCATCTCTGCATCACATCCATGAGCCACAAAGCTGCCTTATCTTTTCATGTTAACTGTTCTTTCTTTCTTTTTCTTTTTTATGTGCATTGGGGACAAGAGTTATGTATAAAAAATATTGAACACTATAGCATTTATAGCCTTAGCTAGTTTGATATGTACATCCCCAGATGGGCTTTTAACAATTTAAAACATTAAAAGTCAATAAAACAACATGGAAGATAAAATATCACAAATTATCCTAAAAATAGCTTAAAATAAACCGGAATGAAATGAGCCATCTTGGACTCATCACAGTTTATTGCTAATGATGATTACAAATCTGGTATAACTTAAGAAACTCCTTCAGTCACAACCTAAAACTGTGCCAGTCTGTACCTCGTTTGGCAGCTCAAAGGCACATCAGTGGCAGGTTGGCTTTAACCTTCAATAATGACTCAGTTTATTGGGAAATAACACCAGGGCAGCCAGAATACATTTAAGTCCCAGCTTAGTGTTTTGTGAAAATGCCTTTTAAATTCAATTGATTTTGGTTCACGATTATAGTTTGTGAAGCTCAAGACATCATTAATAACCCTGAAGACTTTGTGTTGAATAAATACCCAAGTATCATCTGTATACAATGAAAGTTTCTAACAAATATAGCAGCCATATATATTTTTACCTTATCTTTATTTATACTTTAGATTCTTTAAGTTGTATCATTTTCATAAGGAAATATTTTAACCAACACTTCCTGCAACCCTAAATTAAGAGCAGAGAAACAAAAATCTAGGAGTTGGAAAATCACATCCACCATAGTTATGGACAACCGGCAGCTGACCCCTAACCTCTTTGCCGAGTGTCTGTTTTGTCTTCTTGTCCTGTTTCTGCTTCTGCTTCTTGTCTTTGGTCGTCTCCGATTGGTTTGAAGGGATGCTGCGCAGGTCAGCTGGCAGKCCGAAGTACGCAGGGTTACTGGAGAGAACCGAGTACACATCCAGCAAACAGTAGGCATCTGCCACTAGAGGAAGGATAAGAGGCAATAAAAGGAGCGAGGAAGAGGGGCTGTTTCATTTTGCCAGGGGATAACAAAATAATCTCTGATACTCTATGGAGAGGAGGACAGCGACCATCTGGCTCTCTGTCATTGTCTGTCTGTGCATGCATAATGCCTTACCTGCATATCTAATTTGGCTAATGCGTAGTGGACGCTTCCCCCAGTTGGACATCTGCTCTGTCTTGTCCAAGGGACTTCCCAGGACCTGTTGTACCAGCAGACTGAGGCCTTTTTCTGCACAGTCCTCCCCTACTGTTACTTCTTTAGTGCCATTTTGAGCCACGTTAACCTTACTACGCTGAATCTGTAAACAGCACAACAGAAAACATTTAGAATGTCCCAAATATTTTTTGGTACAATGCCCTCAAGACAAAATGCTGGAGTCAATTAGGAGCCTATTTGTGTAAAGTTAGTTGATTGATGGGATAATGTTACCATTTGGTGTACGTTAAGAAGATCAAGCATCCCATTCCTCTTCAGTGGCTCCTCTGATAACTCAGGCCAGGTGGCAGTGAGACACTTTAGATCTCCAGCCATACCATACCCTGTGGAACAAAAGGAGCTAAGTAGTTAAGTTATTAATGAAATAAAAGGATAAAACATTCATTTGAACTACTGCTTACCTAATTTAAGGATATTTTGGTCAGAGAACAAGACCCTGATTAAATCAACTACGTCTGGGTGTTGACAGAATTCCACAGCGGACAGATCTAATAAGAAAACTTGGTCATGAACTGCAAGTTGTATCAGAGCTACTTTTTGAGCTGATACACATCCAAATGTGGGCTGCCACTCCATGTCCACGCCTACAACACCACCTCCCTGGAAAAGACAATTAAAATGCTACCTTTTAGAAAAGTTTCCTAAAGTAACCTCAAGAACCTCCCCTTTCAGTACAACAGTTCCCTTCTCTGTACCTTTAGGATGACCGTTCGACATCGATGGAGAGCTTCAGGCGTGTCCACAAAGTGAACCTTGTCTTTGGTGAGAGGCACCTGAAAGAACTTCTGACAGTGTGACTGAGACGGCACCCACTCCTCATTTTGGGCTAAATCAGTTGAACTTATCTGTCTGAGCAAAGAAGGGAAAAAAATTCATATATATTTAAAAAGTCACAAATTTGTTTTGAAGTAAAACCATGACAGTACAAACAGTCTGGATAAGTTGGCAAAAAACTGCTGAAGGCCCTGTCATACTAGACAACTTATGAAACTTTTTTGACTAAATTTAAATAAGATTTTTGATCGATTGTGAGTTATRTATTTGTTGTTGGTGCTTTATCTTTTATATTTTTAAGAATGTCATTTGTTTTATATTGATTTTTGCCCTGTGTTCAGCACTTTGTTGACAACTTGTTGTTTTTAAATGTAAATTAACTTGATGATGATGATGATAAATTGCTAATAAAAGTTATACATATGATCAATTTCTTCGAATTACATTACGTACACGCCAAAAAGAAGCCTCCTGTTGATTTTTTCTATTTCATCTTCAATGTAGATGTCTTTAAAATGTTCATAAATTGGCATAAGTTGTCTAGTGTGACAGGGCCTTGAGGTTTAAAAACATTGTGTCTGGAAGGAATAATGATTTTATTTAATTTATTATATTAAATCAAATGCCTCATTCATAAAACAGCTCTGTCCGGGACTGACGCGTGTTCTGTCCTCCTCGGATCATTCAGAAAAAACACAGAGGCGAGTAAAGTGAGCCCGCCTCGGACACCCATCTGAGCCCCCAAGCGAGGTAGTATCAGAGCCGGGTCCGAGCCGGGCAGACCAACTTATGAAAAAGMWACCTGCGGTTCAGAAAATGATAATGAGCTGAAGACATCAGTGAGCGACCGCAGGATTAATCAACCGTCAGATTTATTACCGAGGGAATATTAAAAACGACACAGAACAGCAACTTTGTAGTTAGTTTGAAAAATATTGAACCACAGAATCACTMAATGAACATTTGATATGAGTCTCTTTTGGCTCTGCGCTGCTGGGTTCATTTCTGAACGCGTACATGTGAGCGGGACGGAGCCGGCTTCTCCTGTGATTTATGAATGAACCGAGGGAGCTGAAAGCCGGACCGGTCTGTGTGGCCATTTTGCAGAACTGTCTTGTGAAAGAAGCTAAAATAGACAAACAGTAAAACAAATATTTGTGTAAAGCAGTGCTGAACATCTGTTTCTAGAGTCAAAGAAAAAAAGAAAATCTGACCCTAGACTGCACATCATGTCACAGCTATTCCTCTTTTACAAATAACTACATCCTTTATGCAATTTATTCAGTCAGACATGTTTATGCCTATTTTGGCCAACCTACTGTAGATCAGGTGGTAAACTCTGCTGCTTTTCCCATACTCCTGTAGGAAGTTGATTTCTGGGGATGTTGTATCTGATTGACCACTGAGCAGCTTTCTGAAGATCACAGTACTTCACCAACATCTCTACCAAATGGAGCTGCAGCTGGGAGTCATTTCCCACTACAGTCTACACATGAATGACACAAAGTTGAAACAATAAACAACTTGAGTAGTTTAAAACATGGAATTTACATTTAAACACATCATCACAATAAAATAAAACCTACCTGCACATGATCAGTCCAGATCTCTTCGGTCATGCTTTTCTATAACAAAAAAAGGCAACTCAAATGTTTGCTGTTATTTTAAATCACAGATATCCTGGAAACAGCTTGGATCCCTTTAGAAAACATTTTTACTGCATGTCAACCAAGAGTGTGCTCCTGCTGCATCACTTACATCCACAAATGTCTTATACATGAGGTAACGCAGAGAGTCCAGTCTTCTTTTATGCAGAGCATTGGGACACAGTCCTGTGTCAAAAAAACAACATTAATGGTATCTCTACATGTAGACAAATAAATAAGATCCCTAAATATGTGTGAGCTACCCACTTGGGTCAATTGTGAACTTCTCCATGAGTCGTACCACATGTTTTGTGAGCATTTTGGGCTGGATCTGGACTGTGTAGTTTTTGGACAGAGAGAGACGAGGGAACTGTCTGTGGAAGCAGGAAAATATATACATATATGTATTTATAAAGTAACAACCTGAGGATGTCGCCTGCAAACCTACAGCCACACGTTCACACAGGTAACATACTTCCTTATGTCCTGTACAATGAAATCAGGGTGACACCAAGAGTCTAGCAGCGTGACGAGTTGTTCTTCTAGGTCTTTGTGGCCTCTGACAAAGGACTCTGCTARTGCCAACTTGTCCTGTAAGATCAGAGGTACAATCATCTGCAGAAAGAAGATAGAAAACAGAAATTTAGGAGTCTGGAAAAAATTTCAGATCTAACTTGTTGACCATTTATGAAGTAACCCGCAGACTTATAAAACTAAAACCAAACGCTTTGTCTCACCTCCTCTATGTCTAGTTCCTTTTGTAACTCCAACTTTATGCTGAGCATTGTTGCCTGTTGGAAAAAATTAAATTAAATTAAATATATATATATATAGTACATACATATATATACAGTATATATAGATATATTAGGGCTGTGAAATTAATCGAGTTAACTCTGATTAATTTTAATGCTGCATGGGCACAGATTAAAAATTTTAATCAGGATTAAAACTTACAATCATTTTACTATGGCTGAATATGTAGGTTTGTATATTGCAATGCACTCAGTACATGCCAGATCATGTTTGTAAATGTAAAGTGGTTCTCAAACAGTTTACCTGGATAAATAAAGCTTAAATAAATTATATTAAAAGAAACTCCATGTGTAACACATTATGTACAGTTTTTTTCTTTTTATGGCTTATTTTATTTTATTTTATTTT